TATATATACAGTATACAGTATAGTACAGTAAATCAATGAATGAATAATGCTGCTTGTGTAAAAAATCAAATACATTTGTTTTGTTTTGAAGTCAGTCACTGATGTAACTTTCCTCTACAAACGTCTCTTTCTAAATTATTTCTCCCAAAACAAAAACTTAGTTTATGTTCTATTTGGTAAATTTCTGTGCAGTTCTTCAATGTCCCCGAGTTTCATTAGCTTGTCATGCAAATGTCAGCACACTCAGCTCACAAAAGGTGTATTCTCTGGTTTGTGTTAACCAGAACCTTTCATCCTCGTGGTCATTAAAAACCCCAACAGTGTGACTGAGACCTGAGAGTTAAGTTATTTAAGTTTGAATAGATCCACTGAACTGTAACCCCCCACCCCTCACCACCCCGGTCCTTTCGAATGATCAGCTTGCCTTTCACACCTCAGGTTGGTCGGCTCTGAGGATTTCCTCTGGGACGGCGGACAGTAGAGCAGGAGACACGCAGGGAGGCTCAGTGGTTTGCAGGCTGAATGAAAGGCAGATCAAACACTGGGGTGCAAAGCCCCTCCATGTTGCTCTTCTAGGTGGGATTGATGAGAGGGGTGGGCAGATGGCCTTATCCTTCTCTGTGGGGGCTGGTATGAGGTTGCACRGGGGGGTATCCCATGGGGCAACATATTTGCAGACACACACACGTGCACACGTGCAAACGCGCACACGCCACACAACCCCCCCAACACCCCACCCTGATCACGGCTATTCTACCTGTTTTCCGTCCTCCTGCCTTATCTGGTGCTCCTGTGCGAGCCGTTTGACGGACCGCAGGGTTCTCTCTCTCTGCTTGATCCCTATGCAGCTGGGCTGAGAGGAGTAAATCTGCTTGTAGGTTGACATCTGGCATTGTCATTCAGGATGTTCGAAAGTGTTATAGGGTCCTACTCCCCATGCATCGCGCTTTACAATAGTTCTCTGTGTGCTGTTTGTGTCTTTATGCGCAAAGCTTTTGTATAGACCCAACTGTTATTCCTGGGTGATGAAACCGTGAGGCAGAGAGGAGAAAAAGCTCAGCTCCTTCCTTGGTTAAACTTTTTGTCTGACAGATTCAAGGCAGGAGTTTAGATTTAGTTGGAAAACACTGTTCGGGTGCAACAAAAGCCTATATATATATATATATA